GGGGCCGTACCTGCCAGGTCCTGGCGTGTGAGGTTGTGCACCTCGCCCTGCAGGCGCAGCAGGGAGGCGTTGAGGGCGCCCAGGCGGGGGTGGACGGTGCCCAGGCGGGCGTCATGCAGCTTGTCGAGCAGGGCGCCGTGGGTGCGCAGGGTGCCGTTCACCTCCTGCAGGCAGCCCCACAGCCCCGTCACGTGCTTGCTCAGCCCCTCCTTGACCTTGCGCAGGCTGCCGGAGACGGCGTCCAGCCGCTCGCAGACGCCCTCCAGCTTGGCCAGCCGCTGCTCCAGGCCGCCGGCCGCGCGCCGGCACTCCCCGGCCTCGCCCCGCAAGGTGCCGCCCAGGTGGTGCAGCTGGCGCGTCACCCCCTCCAGCCGCTCCTCGCTCTCGGCCGCGCGCTCCGTGGCCTCGGCCTGCACCTTGTTGATCTCGGCGATGATGCGGTCCTTGGTGGAGCCCAGCTCGTGCAGGTCGGTCTGGTGCTTGTCCACGGTGCTCTGCAGCCCGCGCAGCGTGTCGTTCAGGGAGCTGAAGCTCAGGATCACCTCGGACAGCTCGCCCTGCAGCGACTTCAGGTCCACGGCCGACGTGCCCCCGAAGACGCTGAAGCCGTCCAGGGGCTTGTGGGCCTCCACGGGCTCCCGGCCCTGCTCCGGCTTCCTGGGCAGCAGCGGGCAAGCACAGGCCACCACCTCCCCGCGCAGCCGGCCCACCTCGTCCTGCAGGGCGGCGCAGGCCTGGCTGCAGCCGCGCTGCTCGGCCCGGACCTCGCCACTCAGCCCGCGCAGCTCGGCCTCCAGCTGGCCCAGCCGCGCCCCCGTGCGGTTGAAGAAGAGCGCCAGGTCCTTGGCGGTAGGGTCGGTGGCGCTGCCCCCCGTGCCCAGCAGCTGGGTCTCCAGCTTGCCGATCTCAGCCACCAGGCGCACTAGTGACTCCCCGTTCGCCCCCACCAGCTCCCGCAGCTTCTTCCCCTCGGCCTGCAGGGCCCGCACGGAGCCGGCCAGCCCGACCCCGGAGCTGCTGAGCTGGTGCACGTTGGAGCCCAGGGTGCGCAGCTGCCCTTCGTTATCTTGCACCCGGCGCTCCAGGTCACTGAGGATGTTGCTGATCTGGGAGTCCTGGCTGCCCAGAGAGGGGGCGTGGGGCGTGGGGCAGGGCTGGCTGCACCCCACGCCCTGGCCCTGCAGCTCCATCACCACAGCCACACTCTGAGCCACGCTGTCCTTCAGCGTCTCCACGTCCTGGCTCAGGTTGGCCAGGGCCTGGTGAACGTGGCCCTGGAAGCCGCTCAGCTGCCCGGCCACATTGGCGAGCTCCCCCTCGGCCCCGCTGAGCCGCCCGCTCAGCTCCCCCGCCAGCTGGCTGTGCAGGTGGGGCTGCTGCTGGGCGTAGTGCTCCTCCAGGCTGCGCTGGGTGGCGTTCAGACGCCTCTCCACCTCCGCCAGCCGGCCCCGCCCCGCCCCCGCCGGCTCCAGACCAGCCAGCTCGTGGTCCAGGCGCCCGTTGAGCATGGCGAAGGAGCCAGAGACGCTGTCCAGCCTCCGCTCCAGGTCACCCATCCTGCCGCGCAGCTCGTCCAGCTGGGAGCAGCAGTCCGTGGGCAGGCGCCCCGCCAGGCCGCTCACGTGCCGCTGGATGCTCTCCACCGCCTCCCGGTTCCGCTGGTCCACGGAGCTGATGAGTTTCTCCAGGCCCCGCATGCGCTCGCGGTCCTCGGCCTGCTGCCGCCGCAGCCCCTCGCCGCCCGCCAGGCAGGCAGCGCAGGACTCCTGCACCCGCCGCTCCACCTCCTGCAGGAGCAGCGCCCCTCCCTGCGGGGCCCCCGGCCCCTGCCCGGGCCCCTGCCCGTTGCTCAGGTTGGTCAGCTCGGCGTCGTGGCTGGAGATGCGGTTGTCCAGGTGCTGCAGATGCCTCTGGATCTTGTTGAGGGTCTCCTTCATCTCGGGCTGGGCGGCCGCATCGGCGAGCTGCTTCCCATTGAGCGAGAGCTCCACCGCCTTGCTCCCCTCCTGCAGCAGCTTCTCCGCGGTCGCCTGCAGGTCCTCCAGCTGCTTGCTCAGGGTCTGCACCTTCTCCTCCAGCTGCTTCACCTTCTCCGCATCTCCCCG